AGCGCCATGCTAGCGCCATGCTAGCGCCATGCTAGCGCGCTGCAGGGACCGGCAGGGACGGCCAAAGAATAACATTACTCGCGGAGGGAGGCGGGTAATTTGAATGTCAAATTTGGTGTACGCGGTCTCGCCACTACTTTTCTGGTGACATGCGGGGAGAAACGGCAAGGGGGCTGCATGAAGCAGAGAGTGATGTGCGTTTGCTTGTGTGTGTGTGTGTGTGTGTGTGTGTGAGAGAGAGAGAGAGAGAGAGAGAGCGAGAGAGAGAGAGGGAGAGAGAGAGAGAGAGAAAGAGAGAGAGAGACGTATGTTGGGTTAGGTCGGCGACCGGAGTGCGCCTAAGACAACGTCCTTCGCAGTCTGCTCGGGGTTGCGTTTCTGCTCACGTCCCCCACCACACTGAAAAAATGAGTCCCAATCCGCGAGCATTCGTCTCCGCATCGAGAGATGCTCTTCGAATTGAGAGCAATGCGTGTGACGCAAAAGTTTCTTGAATGAAGAAACCGTTTTTCAGGCCATGATAATCACCCCCAAGTTCCAGTGGACGGGCGATTCCGAACAATATTTTCGTCGCTCTGTCTCTCTCGCCGCACTCCTGCGGGACGCCCCATGAGTGCGACAGAGAGGCAGATACGAATCTACGGGGGATTGGCGTCTGTCGAGGCGCTCGAGGTCTCGCTCGAGGTCGTCATGGCGTGGCGGGTCGGACGGTCTGGCGGACGGGTGGCGTCTTAACGCGGCTCAGGCCCCGACGTTTCCTGTTCGTCGTGTTTGGTCCGGTCGGGTCCCCCGTGGCGTGGGGGTCCCCTGTGGCACTCCGGGGCACTTGAGGCTCAGAGCGCGCTCTCTCTCTCTCTCTCTCCCTGCCTCGGCACTGCTTCTCCAGTGCGGCGCCAGGGCGTGGAGCCAGGCCGTTGTCGCTGGGCCTTTCTTATTTTTCGCTTTCTCTCTAAATGCCTTACGGTGGAAGGCTGCACCAACAACATACTATGGAGGAGACTTTCTCCTTAATAGAAAAGAAGATCGAAAAATGTCTATCCGAGACAACGAATTTTTATAGAGAAGCTGCACTACCAAAATATGGGGAATCTTCAGCATAATGTGGAGAATTTTAATCAGAACATGGAGAATTTTAATCAGAACACGGAGAATTTTAGTCAGAACAGGAGAATTTTAATCAGAAAATGGAGAACTTTAATCAAAACATGGCGAATTTTTATCATAAAATGAGCAATTTTTACCATAATTGGAGAATTTTCATCACAAACGCAGAGAATCTTCACCAGAAGACTTCAGTAGTGTACTCCGAGGCTTCCTGACGGTGCCTCGGAACGGACAACAGACACGGCCTTCGTTCTCCGTTCGGGACGCGCGCCCTCTCGAACTGTTGGAAGGCCCCAAAGCCTCGAGAGATATTGCGCGAAAATTATTTCGAGTCGTCGGCGAGCCTGCCTGTCGAGACAGGCTGGAAGCCAGCAGACTGATTCGCTCTGTGTACCAGCCCGGGGCGCCCGGAGGAAAGCACGGCCGAGGAGCACTGCCCCGGCCGAGGCCCCGGCCGCCCCGCAACAGCTGCACTCCGGCTCACGAGAGAGGCACGACTCAAGTTTTGGAAATGCGAAAAAAAGTCACTCGTTTGTTTATCCTTGTTATTCGGGCGAAGAGGAAAAAGAGCGGCTTGGAACACACGTTACGATTGGTGGCCGAAGCGATAGGAGTGGCTCCCCTCCTCGCCTTCGACGCCCGGCCCGGCCCGCTCGCTGCACTGGGTCGGGTGCACTCGGCGCGGCCGTCCGAGTTGAAGAAGGAATCAAAACTTGTGCGCGACTAAGCTCCCCGGCGGATTGGGCACTCGATACGCCCACGCCTCGCCGACCACGCTGGCCCTCTGGAGGGGTGGCAGGCCCCGACGTGCACTTCGGCGACTTCTGCTTTCAGACATGCCTGTGCTCGGGGGGAAAGACGCGGGGCTTGGGGATTTCGAATGCAGGCGGGCTCGCTCGACCACCAACCGCCATACGGCCACCATGCCCACCTTGGCCCTTGGACACCAAGGCCAGCAAGACCACCATACCCGCCAAGGCCGCCACGACCTCCACGCCCCCCACGGCCAACAATGGCCACCAAGGCCAACAACGGATATACATCATGGCTACCAATAGGCCACCACGGCCTCCTCGGTCAACAATGGCCACCAAGGTCAATACGGCCACCATGGTTTCTACGGCCCATAGGGTGCACCAAGGCCAACACGGCTACCAAGCCCACCACGGCTATACCATGGCCACTAAGGCCACCACGGCCTCCTCGGTCAACAATGGCCCCCGGCTTCAATACCGTCACCATGATCACTACCATAGGGTGCACCAAGGCCAACACGGCCACCAAGGCCAACACGGCCACCAAGGCCAACGCGGCCACCAAAGCCAGCCTAGCCGAGTGGCACTTCGGCGGGTCGACTTGCCCGTGATGTTTCTGCACTTGGCAGTGGCGGCGCTGACGGGCCCCACCGGTGCATGTACCACGACACGTCGGATGGCGCTGTCGGGGCACCGCCAGGGGGCAGGCCAGAGCCAAGCCGAGCCGGGGCGGGGCGGGGCTCTTTGCATGGGACGATGCTCACGCCGAGGCGAACCCGAGGCAAGCCTGACGCGCGGTGACCCCGTGCTGCTGTGGTGGTGGCGACGGCGCCATGTCGCGGGGAATTGCGTCCAGGATTGGATGCGATTGGGACCGCACCGAGGAGCGGCGCGGCGAAGTGAGTTTGGCGGGGGGACGGCGGGGACGCGCGAAAAGTAAGTTACGTCGCCCCGATGAGGTCGCCTGGATGGGACGGGACTCGGCGAGACCATGTCACTTTGGCCAAGAGGCATGAATTATTCCGCGAGTTCCCCCCCCCCTCCAATCCATTGCCCCCCTCCCCTTCCCCCGGCCGGGTTCGGCGGCGGCGGGCGGCGCTGGGCGCGGCGGGGCTGTCACGTCAATGATCGTCACGCCTGCCTCGGTCAGCAACCGGCAGGGTGCGCCGCTACGCTGCGAACGGGAAAAGGCAAGGGTTGGTCTGAATAAAGGGCTGGGGGCAGAGGGGTGGCTCCGCGGCGGCGGCGTAGGGTGTGAACGCGAGCGCTCAGTGCGTGACAGTCAGGCAGGCAGAGGAACGAAGAATAAACCGAAATGAAACGGTACTGGTGACGGTCCCATGAGGTTGCTGAACTCTCCCTGCGCCCTGCTTTTACATCACTTACACGCACGCGCGCACACACTAACACACGCAGGCAAGGGGAGCATGTCCCTGGTGGCAAGGGGTCCCCAACCGGCGAAAATCGGTGTACACGGGTGAAAAAGTCATTAAAAAAGTCACTAAAAGTCAAAAAAGTCAAAAAGTCACAAAAGTCAAAAAGTAACAGAAAAACCACTATAAAGTATCCAAAAAGTCACGAAACAGCTTTAAAATGCCAAATTTCAATGAACGCTGGTGGAAAAGTAACTTTTTAAGTCAAAAAAGTCATTTAAAGGTCAAAAAGTCATTTAAAAGTCAAAAAGTCATTAAAACGTGTGAAAGTGAAAATAGTTACAAGGCAAAACAGTCGCAAAAAGTCAGAAAAGATACTCAAAAAAGTCACAAAAAAGTCAAAAAACAATCAAAAAGTCACAAAAAAGTCAAAAAAGTCTGTTTTGACTTTAAGTCAGTGTACGCTCGCCGGCTCGGTTGGGGACCCCTTGCCTGGTGGTCATCTCCCCCGGGCCGCGAAGCGCGTAGACCATCGACCCCCCGAACAAGATGATTTATCCCCTCCAAAAATAACACCGCTGAGTGGCGTTCGGCCTGCGAGGTTCATATAACTCGCTTTGCTGGTGTAGGGCCTAGCGTGTAGGACCCACGCCCTACACTGTACGTGGCGCGACCGGGGGCCGAGCTACAGTGGGCCAGAAGACCGGCGCCGGCGGCCAAACCTCTCGACGCGTTTGGAGCTCGAACCGCTCGTGTGACCCCACCAGTGGATTCCCCGTTCGGAGGACAATCCATTGGTGTTGTCGTCACACGTTCGGCTCGAGTGCCATTTAGCGACTCTGAAGCTCAAAAAGCGTCCGGGATTTTGGCCGCCTCCACCGGTCCTCCGGCCCACTGTGCGAGCCGGCCGGGGACTGGGGGTGTTGCGGTGTTGCGGCCGCGGGGCCCGGATGGGATAGGCCTGCCCGGCTCGGCCGGCCTGTGGGCTGTCTCCGAACGCCACTTGCTCGTCGCCGTGTCTCCCTCGCACTCGTTCCGCAGGGGTGCGAGAGAGGCAGAGCGACGGCCGAGCGCGGCACGCCGTTATTAGCAGTTACGGCCGACTTTAGAGCCGCTCAAAGTCGCGCGATGGTGCAAATGGCTTCCCTTCCTCTGGCTCTTGCTCGCAGTGCTTGGGCGCATGGGCCGTGCGGTGGGTCCTTGGCTGGCCCTTTAGCTAGCCCCTAGGCTTCAGAGGAACGGGGAGGGGGCAAAGAGTTTCCCCCCTCCCCAAAGGCACCTAGATAGACGCCGGAAAGGTAGGCAAAAGGGCATAATTCGTTCCTCTAAGTGGGCAGAAAGTGGTACTTTGCACCCCGATAGGCCCTGCCTGGGTCCGCCACTGCTAGGCTTAGGCTGCCCCTCGGCCCGTCGCCGCTTCATCATTACGAGCGCTTTGAATGGCCGAGTTAAGCCAACACGTGCGGTGCTTCCGGCGCGTCGCACGCGTGCTGCTGGGTCACCTCAGCGAAAAGGGGCGGCCCGGGTTAGGCTGGGCGTGCTCCACCTGACTGGCAGGCAGACGGACGGACAGACAGACATATCGGCAGATGGCCGGGGCTGGCCAGACAGCAGGCCATCTGCGGCGCCGCCGATCGTCTTTTATATGTCTTTGACATCGTTACGTCAAACACGACTGGTCCTTCTGGGCTTTCCCGCGAAACAGCGGCCACTACAAGCCTACACTACACTACAATTCTCGAGAAGTGTAATATCGTTGTTGCCGCAGGTACGAGGCGGGCCGGCACAACAACAAGACGTGCCGCTACAACCAGAACAGCGGCTACGTCGTCTTCTCGGCCATGGGGTCCTTCTTCGTGCCGCTGGTCGTGATGCTGTACGTGTACGCCCGCATCCACCTGGTGGTGATGCGCCGCCACGACAACCTCAGCACCTGGGACTCGCGGCAGGTAAGGAATGCCACTCTGTGAAGATAAGTACAAATCTCTGGAACTTACCTGCGTGAAAAATGCCGAAGGGGCCTTTGTAGCATTCACAAAAAAATTTTGGTTGCTTGTGAAGATTCTTTGTAAATTCACAAAGGTTTTTAAACTCTCGGAGACTTTTCGTGAGTTTGGGAAAAAATATGTCCAGAGGTGCCTTTGTTAATTCTCGGCTTACTTTGTACATTTAATGCGCCTCATTTGTCTTTCGGATTATTTTTACTTTTTGCTGCTACAACAAAACGAATTATCCCCTCCAAATGCATTATCACCTCTTTGGTTTATATGGTTGATGGTTGACTAACAACTAAAAATAACTACAAGGTGATGAATGTGATCCAGATGTTTTCAATACATTATTGTTGAAATGACCAAATGTTTTTTTCTCGGTGTATTGAATGTAAACACACGACACGAGTGAAGTTTGACGTGGAACGAACTGACTTTGTCTGTCTGGTTCGCAGACGTCTCGGAAACTGCGCGATGTGACCCTCGACGTCCGATCGCCGGTGCCGTGCTCCTACTCCAGGTAAGCTGAAACTAGGGCAGACGATCATTTGTGGCCCAGACGTTGAGCGCCTGACGGGTAGGCCGCACGGACACACTGGTGTCGGCGGGTTGCCTACCCCCGACTTCACAGGCGCTCTGCCCGCCGCGGCCGCGCGGCTGACCGTCGCTCCAAGACTGCTGCTCTCGCTGCTGAGTGGTGCGCGAACAATTCGAAACAAATCCAACGTGTAAGAAAAGGATCAGAAGGATACTTGGCGTGAGCGGAGAATTTCTCCAACGTTGGATTCGATTGAAAGAGGCCGCTTCGCACGGAAACTGCTGCTACACTGGTTGTTCCCATGCACACAGCTGCAGCGGCCAGTCGGCGCCGGCGGCCCAGAGTCTGGGCCAGGGCCTGGGCCAGGGCCTGGGTCAGGGCAGCCAGACGCCGCGGCGGTGCCAGACGTGCGGGCGCGGCGCGTGCACCGTGGGGGTGGGCCCCGCGCTGAGCCCCGTGCTGGACCGCGGCCTGGACCGCGGCTGGCTGCCGCGCCCTCCGGACCGTCCGCCACCGCGGCCAGCCTCAACGGCACCCTGGCGGCGCAGAGCAACAGGTGGGGCCCACACCGCCAAGCAGCCAAGCCGCCGCCAAGCGCACAGTGGGCCAGAAACCGGCGGAGGCGGCCAAAATTCTTGACGCGTTTTGAGCTTCACAGTCCGCTAAATGGACTCGAACCGAACGTGTGACCCCATGGGTTGTCTCCGACGAGGAATCCATTGGTGGGCACCGTTGTTCGAGTCCTGTTTAGCGACTCGGGAGCTCAAAACGCGTCTAGAATTTTGGCCGCCGCCGCCGGTCTGTGCTGATTCCGAAGGATCGCTTCGTCGCCCTGCCTCTCTCGCACTCCAATGGGACACCTTGTAGGAGCGCGAGAGAGACAGAGCGACTGGAATGAGACGGCCGCGCCGCTCCGCCTTGGCGCGCGGAGCGTGAAACAACACATTGAATATGGAACGCGAACGCGCGGCCGGGGCCAAACGCCGAGCCTAAGCCAAGCCGAGCGGAGGGAAACGAATATCCGCACTTTGTGAAGGCTGGCGCGCCCTGACACATCGCGCGACGAGACTGCGGGCTGAGAGTCGCATTCGTCGCTGTCTCTCTCGCAGCTTCACGGGACGCGCCATGAGTGCGAGAGAGACGGACGACTCTCGGAGTCAGTCTGCTGGCGGTTCTCGGGGACAGCTTGGCGGCAGGCCTCGTGGCACGCCTCGGCTCGCTCCGCGCGGTCTTTGACACGCGACCCTGCAGCATTTATTTGTTTACACTGACGCCGGTACGGTACGCCTGCACACACCGGTCTGGCGGAAGGGGGGGGGGAATGCCTAATGAGGAAAGTTTCGAGATTACCCCACGCGACACACGCGGCGCGGCCGGCCTGGCGCGCGCCACCTCGCGAGGCACTGGCGTTGTCTCCGCCACTGGGAGGGAGGGGGTCGTCTCTGTTACCTCAAACAGGGAGAGAGAGAGATGAAAGAGTTTTTAAAGGATCTGTTGGGGGGATGAGAGTTATAGGGGTCAGGGGATGAATAGCCCTTTGGTCACAAATGCATTATCATTGCTTAATTGTTCTTTTGGCATTTTTGTCGTTATGAGTGCAGTGTTAACAATTTGATTAGAATGAGCAATTTAAAAACAATTGTTTTGAACCGTGGTCGAGTCATTAATCGCAATCGTCAGGCGCCAAGCCCTTAATGGTAATGGCAAATAGGCCACGCTGCTGTGGATGACAGGACTGTTTGGCGGGTGGCCTACCCGTAGGTTCGCAGAGGGTTGGAGGAAATGCGAGCGTCCATACCGATCTAACGTTTGTCCTTTTCCTCTTGCAGGGGGCTGTCGGGCAGCGGTTCCCTGGGTGCGCTGAGCACGGCGTGCCTGCCAGCCACGCCGCCCAGCAACGAGCCTGCCGACCTCAACCACCACCACCATCACCACCACCATCATCACCATCACCACCACCAGAACAAGCGGCCGCACCACACGGTGAGGTTGCTTTATTGCCTCTCCCTCACAAGGGAAAGAAATTCGACTTGGGGTTTTTATTTATTTTCTTTCTCTCTACGCTGAGGTGGCCCCTGCACTGCGCACCGTGGCCTGCATGCAGGTGCAGACTGATTCCGAGAGTCGCATCGTCACGGCGTCCTTCCCGCGGCACCTCTTTGCTCCCCTCCCTAGGCCTCACAGATTACGTATGATCGCACTGGCTGGCCGGCTGCCTGCCTTGCTGTCTGCCTTCGACAGTGAATCAGAGCTACGTATGGGCCGCCCATAAGCACCACCGCCCCACTGCAAGAGAAGGGCGGATCCAGAGATGAGTTCAGCGAGGCTAGTGTAGAAAAAGTTGCCTACCGGCAGGGGCAACCAACCGGCGACTTTTTTCCTTCCTTCGGGACACACGACTATCTCTCCCCCCCCCTCTTTCTGGATCCGCGCCTGCAGACTTATTCCGAAAGTATTTTTCGTCGCTTTGTCTCTCTCGCACCCATACGGGTCGCCCCATGAGTGCGAGAGAGACAGAGCGACGAAAACGACTCTCGGAATATCATTCTGCTGTGGCTGCCGGCGGTGCGGGCGGACGCGGCCCCAACTTCCGAACACCACCTTTACTGTTCCTTCTTGCAACCCTCTGAAGCTTTTCTGTTTGTTTTTTCCCTCCGCAGTACTCCGGCGTGTGCGCGGGCGGCGGCGGCGGCGGCGGCGGCGGCGGCGGCCCCCGGGTCTCCTCGTTCCGGCGCGCCGAGTCCAAGACGGCCAAGACGCTGTGGATGCTGGTGGGCGGCTTCGTGGCGTGCTGGCTCCCCTTCTTCGTGGTGTACCTGCTGACGCCCTTCCTGCCCGAGCACGCCGTGTCCAAGCAGCTCAGCTCCGGACTCACCTGGCTCGGTAACCACTGTCAAATTCAATCTCCAAAATATAGGAAGGTACCTCTAGCTAAAAATATGTTGCCGGAAGAACCTTTTGTAAATTCTCATCGATTCTTTGGTAAATGCACGAATTTTTTTCGGAAAGTTACAAAAGAACCTTCGGCTTTAAAATTCTGGAGGTATCTTCATTAAATTCCGATCCATTTCTTATAGTGTATGGTTTACACTCTCCCTCAAAAACGTTGGAATATTCCCCTGAATTTTGACAGTGATTCTTCATCTGAAAATGTTTCTGGTTTTTTTTTATTACAAATTCTTTTAAATGAATTTTAGAGGATTTTGGAAACACGTCTCTGAATTTTTGTAGAGGTGTGCGGGTCGTTTGAAATCTAATTGAATTTGGGCTGCTTCGATTCGAAAACGAGACAAATAATGTTTTACCTATCGTCGTTTTCTTGGCCTAAAAGAGCTGAAAAAGTTTCAATATGTCACCATGGAGAATATTTGATTCGTAGACATATTTCAAGATTCGGCTCTCTATGAGATTGGGTAATGCCACTTCGCACCCGACTAAACTTTCGGCACCGTGGTAAGAGGAAAACCGCCTGACAGTTCCCAACACGGGAGTTTCGCGTTGGCGCAGCCCGTCCTTTTGACGTGCTCTAACTAGCGCTTCTTGGCGCGGCGTGGCGCGGCGCGGCGCGCTGCCGCATCGCAGCCCTGCGCGCCCCGGCCGCCGCTGCACACGGTTCCAACTTACTGCCTCCGACGGCCGGGGAAGGCTGGAACAATGAATGAACTGTCGGGATGCATCACCCCCTTCCAGCCCCCTCCCCTCCACCGCCGCTCCCCCTCCCCTCCCGCCCCGCCATCCGTCTTGGTCGCGACGCGGTGCGGTTCACCCCGACGTCCCCCGCGACCCCCGCGACACGCGCACCTGCCCCGCGAGGCTCTCGTTGGAGGGCAATCGGGTCAAGAAGCTCTACTCGCGCGCCGCGCCCCGCCCCGCCCCGCCCCGCTCTAATGGCTGCTTCACGGTGGTTTATGGGCCTGTCCGCCCGCTGTCCCGGCGCGTCGGCGGTACACTGTTTGTCAGCGAATGTGACGTCATGTCCGTTTGAACATGACGTCATCGTCGTCCGCATGTTGATCCACGTTCAGAGGAATGTGGCATCCTAGTTAAACGACCGTGTCACGTTCCGACGACCGTGTCACGTTCCGACGAACGTGACATAGTTTTCAAACGAACGTGACAAAATTCATATTCTACCCAACATGGCGTCACATTCGTTGAATAAACAGTGTAGTCGGTGGCCCCGTTCTCCTCGTCCTCAGTCGCGCGAACCGCGTGCAAGCACCACGAACGCGACATGACCGATTTTGCGCCACTTATAAATGCCAACCGCCCCATCTGTCATCCCCGGGGCGAGAGGGAAGGGGGGAAGGGGGAGGGAAGGCCTCTTGTGGAGCGCCTGCCTAGCCGCTTGCGCGAAATAGACAAAAGAGCCTAGGCGCCCAGGCCAGCCAGGGCCTCACAGCGTCGGCACTTGCTCAACAACTGTCGGGAGTATGCACTGCTGCTGAGCTTTCCAAGGTTACCTTCCACTGCGAAAAATAGGTTGGCTAAAAGTAGGTAGGCAACCCTCCCTCCATTGTCACTCCCACCCCTCCAGTGAATGATAATGAGTGACCAGCGTTGCAAGTCAGCAACCCCCTTCCGTCTCGCCAGCATTCGTATTGTACGGCGTGAAAGAATGGGGCTTCCCTGAAGCGCACGTTAAGTTGCCTACCTCGGAGGCGCTATTCGCCCTAATGGTGTAGTGGGTGGTTCGTGACTGTATTCTCTTTTCTGCGTTTAGGGTGGATCGTGACAGTGTATCTTTTTCGGCTGTTAGAAAAGATGGCGACAGTGTACTTGTTTCGACTTCTTTTAGAGTGGATCGTGACTGCTTTCTTTTCGGCTTTCAGGGTGGATCAACTCGGCGGTGAACCCCTTCATCTACGCCTTCTACAGCCCCGACTTCCGCGTCGCCTTCTGGCGGCTCACCCTGCGCCACTGCGTGCCCAGGAGCAAGGCGCCGGGGCCGCCGGACGGCCTAAGGAAGTGAACCGGTCCGCCGGTCCTCGTCCGCCATCCAGCCAATCCAGCCCCCCGGAGTCCCTGGGTCCCCAGCCACAGCCTGCCACATGTCGGTCCCGCCCAGGCGGCGCGGCGGCGCACCATCTTATAGTGACGATTATTCACGTTATGGTGAAAATTCCCCCACATTATGGTGAAAATTCTGCATTTTATGGTGGTGCAGGGTGCGGCGCTACGCAGTACAAGTCTTATAGTGAACATTCAACATTCTCCCTGGTGAGAGTTCACCATATTATGGTGAAAATTCTTTTGCTGTAAAAGTGAAGATTCTCCACATTATGGTGAAAATTCTTCATGCCATGGTGGTGCAGCTGACATTGTGCTTTAGCTCTGAAAATTCATTGTACCTCATAGATATTTTGTCGCATTTCTTTCGTTTTATGGAGAAAATCTCCACCATAACATGTTGGCGCAGCCTTCCATCAAGACGTTTAGAGTGTAACCCTCGCCCGAGAGGCTCTTCACCACCAGAAATACTACAAACTCCATGCTCGCTTCACTGTTGAGTACGTGGGGTATCGATGAGGTTTTTCTAAGAGAAGGTGGAGGCGCTTTTGATCGTGTCATTAGATGGGCAGTGTTGATCTCATCGCGACGCTGTGGCGTTACCTGGAGTGCCTAGTCTGATGGTTCCAACGTGCTTCTAGTCATGTCTCTCGTGCTGGATTTCGATAGCTTTGTAGCTTTATTCATTTTGTTTTCAAGTTGCGTATGTAATATCCTTGGCGCTGCGTCCATTGTAGTGATTTTGACCCTCCCCAGTTCCTATGTCATATCCAGCGACCTATTTATTGTTTTTTTGTTTTGTTTTTTATGAGTCGGCAGTTCAATGCCCTGATCTCGAGTACCTATTTATTATTACGATTATTGTATGATTATTATTATTAGTGAAGTAAGTTGTATTTGAAGTTGCCGCCGCTATGTTGCCCAAATGTTTAGATATAGAAAGGATCTTAAGAAATTAAGGGAGTGATTCCTCATAGGTTGTGATGAAAGGTTTAGTGGGTGCTTTGGTGAGTGTTTGTCAATGATGTGATTTATTTTTGTACACTATTAATTCCGTATAGGTAGGTATGTAGTTTACTTCTTTCTCCTTTCTGTGTGTAAGTTACAAATGAATCTAGTCATAGTATGTGATTTAAACCCATGGCATTTATTAGATTTTTTTCTCATAACAAGAAGAAGCTATATGTTGTCACTCATTGCGTTGCAAAGTGACAATTCCATGTTTTTCATGTAATAGCAGCGTATGGACAGAATGTTGTAGAATAAAAGTTCTTCTGTTTTGTAAGTGTCTGCTTCTTATTTGAGCGTCCTCGCCAGCATTAGATTAGACTCAGAAATCTGGTTCTATTGTAAAGGGGGTGAGGGTTGAAATGGGGAAGTGCCCGAACGTTCTCTCGCGCGGGCAGTGTTTCTCACCGACACCTCTGAATGAGCCACCGAGGCACCTGTTTTTGTACACTCCAAATAAAAATTTTAATTCCTTTTTTAAATTGTTTATTTACAATACATAATAACTGTAACAAACCACAACTCATACACAGCCACCCATAATATTATCACATATCATTGGTATTGCCTGACAAATCTGCAAACTCCTCCTAAAAAATTCTGCACTTTGAAGTTTTCTATTCAAGGCATTCCACAAATTTTATTAACAATTTTTGAATATCTTAAATGTTAGCAAAAACTGACGCGAAAAAATTCAAGTCAGAAACATGTGCTGGACCACTGCAGTGAGAACATGCTGCTCACCAGCCTACAAAAATGTTTTGTCTAACATTACGATAGGATGCTATAGTATGAAGTGGAAGGGAAAGAGTGTATGTATAGAAAGCAAAGATTCTCTTTTTGTGCAAAGCCTTCTTGTCAAAAGAATAAAACAAAAATACTGTATCATTTAGAATGTTTCATTGTTGCTGATATTTTAAATGTTGCAAAAACTCCCAAAGGTATAGTGTGAGTGCAGCAAACTTCCGATTGGACTCTAGTCCCTTTGATGCAATAAAGCACAATTTTTCACAATACAAGTAGTGGAAAGCTACGCATGAAGTGTTCAATAATTTTAAATAGTTGTCATCAGATAGAGGTAATATAAAACCCTTGCTTCTAACAATGTCACAAGTTTCAAAAAATTTGCATTAACAATACATGCTTAATAAAGTGGAACATAAAAAAAAAGTAGGAACATTTAACTGCGGCGAGCTGCCTCAAGAATTCGAAGAATATAGATGAACAGGTTGACAATATCCAGGTACAAGTTAATGGTAGCCAGAATGTATTCTTCAGGAGAAAGTTGAGTCATCAAAAGCTGCAAAACAAATTTTTAAAATGTTAGGGTGCCGATATTTTTTGTAAGCTTATTTTTTGTGTCACAAACAAATCTTAGTTCTCTTACCTTCGTGTCATAGACAATGAAAAGGGAGAACAACATTGCTCCACCAATGGACAGAGCAAAGTCAAACATGGAGTTGCCAAGAACCATATTAACGAACAGTCCAAGCAGAAGCACACAAGACGCAGCAAAAAGTCTGCAAAATTAATTCAATCACAGGTCAGGTCAGGAAAAAAGTCACACTGTGACACCAATTGAGAATCAAATCTTACCCAGAGCCCATTGATGTAAAATCTCTCTTAGTTTGGAAAGTGAACAAAGTGAGACCAAACACAACTGCAAAGGTAAGACCCAATGCAGTCAAAACCAAGGACTGATCGTAGAAAGACACCAACACACCAATCGTGTAGGCCTGCACCACAGTCTGGGAAAAGAAATCACGGATTTCAAGAGAAGTCAGATTACTTGTAAAGAAAAAGAAACAATAAGAAAATGTACTTACAAAAGCAGCAAGTAGAATGAGATTAGTAGGGGTTTCTCTTCGCTTGATGTGCAGAGCAATGAGAATAACAATGCTAGCAATAAAGCTCATAGATACCAGCCAATCACTGTAATTTTAAAACTTAATTACAGCGCAAGATACATACAGATCCTGTACAGTTATCATTTGACTGTTGTAGTTCTCAAGTTAGAAGCTTTACTTAACTAAACTTACTTTGTTTTGATGAAGCCTTTGACATGTGGTTCAAACATACACACTGCCCCAATGATCACACTGATAATCAGTTGCATGGACAGCAAGCAATACACCTTTCTGATGAACCCTTTGAATAAAGAAAGAAAGAAAAATAGTATGCCAACACCAAAGACTTTAATGAAATATTCAGGACCTCGACGTACCCATTCTTATTTTCTGCGATGCATTGACAACATTGTTGCGATAAGCAAAGTCATTTTCTATGCTGCTTTCCTTCCCTCCTGATTCCATATCATCAAACGCATACAGCATCGGCATGGTGTCCAGGGCTGCCATTTTGGAGGCTTCAACACAGACAGAACATATATATGAAACACAAAGAAACACACAAAATCCTTTCAACAGAAATAAACTTGCTGCTAAGACATGAGAGCTCAAAAAACAGAAAATTCTCTAGGCTTTCCCTTGCTTCCCTAGGCCAGTCTTCCTAACCACAAAGAGAGGCCATGAGAATCAATAAAAAAAGGTAAATAAGGTTGAATGAAAACATTATAAATGTGAATGATTCAAATTTAAATACAGTACACATTTTAATGCATTTAATGTACAATAATTACAGAAAAACAGCGATCTGTCACGAGATAAGACAAGCTGTCAGTCCGCTTTTACTTTGACATATTTTAACATCCACTGACCCATATAAGTCTCGCGACTGCGAAGCCGAGTAATAAACGCAAGGGACCGTGTCTGTAAAATGCTTACAATACCTTTGATTGAAACGTCAGCGAAGAAAAGGCCACGGTGTGTTGGTTCAATGAATGAAATGTTTATTTACGGCAGTTTACGACGACGTGACGTGACGTCACACTTCGATGTATCGATAGAGTCGAAAGGGTGGAGTCGACACTCGACAGCCTCGAAACAGCGCTTGTGCTGTGCGCGCTAAATTTTGAACCGTTCTACTTGTAGTTTTTAACCGACGTCGCCGTTAAGATACTGCTAAATTACAGGGAGCCGAAAAATAAGATGTAATCGATGTGTTTAAGGTGAGTTGTGTACTCGGGGAAGGTAGGAGGCGCTCGTGCGGTAAGGGAAGTGGTGGGGAAGGCGGAGCTTGGCGGAGCGGAGTGGGAGGAGGGGGGAGGAGAGAGGCGCGGGTGAAGGACACTTTCCCTTTTCCTTCGCGCCCCCCCCCTCCTCTCCCCTTTCCCCGTCCCGTTACTTCCCGTTGCGCCCCGCGTCTTCCCCCTCCCCCCTCCCTCTCACGCTGTCGCTGTCCGAGGAGAGTGTGGAGCTGGAAGAGAGGGCCGCCACATGAAGCAGTTCTCCGCTGCTACTTTGGACATTCGCCGGCTATGGTGGACGCCTAGGACGCCTTCAGAAATGCTTTCCAGCGAGCCTTGTCGTGCGCGTGTTTTGCAATGAGTTTGTTAAGTCGGTTCTTAGGAGAAATATGAGAAATTTCAAGAATGCGACACGTACTTGTGTGTTAGTAGCCATCGGAGGTAAGCCACACTTTCTCCTTTCTCTTGCAGTGCCTCTGTGCAAGTTATTTTCGGCCTGAGATAATCAAGTCCTCCCAGAAAGCCAGAAAACTTGGCCTCTTAGTGCGTGAGCGAGGTAGAAATTATGCCTCTGGTCGAGGTTGACTCAAGGCGAGGCGGCGGAAGCAGATGTTGAGAGCTTATTGCATTAACGAGCTGAAAACGTCACAGCCGTAATTTTAGGCCAATCTGTCTGGAGTAGAAGATCGTTTTCCTCTGGAAATTCATCGAGAACTTCGCACTTGGCTTTCTCCAAGCGCGTTCGTGTTGCATGACTCACAAGCTGAGTATTCGTCATTCAACTTTTTTCATAACATTTTCTTGGGAGGGTAGGTCCGATATTGGCGACCGTGACCTTCCCTCCCATCAGCTGGGTCGACAGGTGCACATCCATTCCATTACACTGGTGTGCCAGTGGATGGGCAGCTTTGAGCCTTTGAGCCTGCCTACTGTCCCACTCGGTCCACTCGGTACGGTTGGTGCGGTGACCTGTACGCACGAGCGCACAAGAGCGCTGACCTGTGTGGGTGCGAGGCCCTGTCGAGGCCAACAATAAAAATCTTTAAAAATTTACTGGGCTTGACTTGAAAAAAAATTCAATAAAAACAAAAGTTAATCTGGCTTTTCATTTTTTTTTCAGTAATTTTTCAAGTTTTTGTGCCTGTAAGATGTGAAGAAAAAGAGATATACCGAGGAAAATTTCTTGGCAAAATTAATTCATATCATCATCAAGTTTCTGGAGATGTCTATGCAGTAGATGAGTTCACATTCCTCTTGACCGAATTTAATTATGATGGCAATGGAGCAGACACATTTTTCTGGGCTGGTGCATCAAACCGGCCAGGTCCACAAGGATTCATCGTTCCTGATGAGTTTGGAAAGTAAGTAGATCCTTATTGTTTTATTTTTAAATCTCAAGCTCCATCAATATTAAGCGACAAACATTTTTCAGGACAAATATCTTGGCTCGATATTTTAATAAAGACTTCACTATCACATTACCAGATGGAAAAAAAATCACAGAAATCAAATGGCTAGCTATATATGATCTCACAAGTCAGGTGAGTGAATGGAGGACAAATGTTTTTTCTGCAAGAAATAAGCATTTATTTCATATCTTTGTGCTATTGTTGTCTTTCCCGAGAACAGAATGCCTTTGGAGATTTGTACATTCCAGAAGATTTTGAACCACCAACAATACAGAAGATTTCTCAGTTAAGTAAACGCTCACATGATGTTGAGTCAGAGTCAATTGAAATAATTGATGCTAAAACATTTCGGATACCCGAGCTTGTCTACAATGGAGCAGGGAAAGGTAAGAAATCCCTTTTGTGTTCATAGCCATTTGGTTTACCTTTAGTGAGAGATTACAAAAATCATGTTTCATGTTATAAATTTACAGATACCTATTTCTATGTGGGCATAGGACCACAGCCTTCATCAAAGGGGACAAAAGTCCCAGATGAATATGGATAGTAAGTTTTCTTAAGCTTTGCTAGTTCCTCATTGCAGACCCAAATTTAATTATCAAAATGTCTCATCCACTATTATTCTGACCTTCAGCCTGGATCCAATAAGAGCCTACAAAAGAGAGACCATCACTCTTGAGCTGCCTGGTGACATCACAATATTTGACATTGATTGGTTTAGTATTTATGATGTAGAATCAAAAGAAAACTATGGATCTGTTATTGTCCCTAGTGGCTTAAATGTGCCACCCTCACTAGTCAAAATCATTGTAAGTTTTTCAAAACTAAGTGTATTTATCTTCTACAAAAGATAACTTCACCATCACACTTTTTATTCTATATTTCAGCCTCGTAAGATAGCTCTTCCAAACTGCTACCAACTGCATAAAGATTTGCAAGTTGGGTGGGAGGTTTTCGGACCTCAAATTACCATCCAGCTAGCTGGGCAAATAGGTAAATAGAATTCTTTTTCCTTTTTAGTGTTGCCATATTGCACATTCCTTACACAAACTGACATTATTGGTTTTTACAGATGAAAATGCTTACATGTCCTTTGGCCTTAGTGGTGCAGTTGATCGTAGTCAAATGATGGGTGCCGATGTTGCTGTTGCTTACATGGATGGCTTCCGAGGATATGCATCCGATTATAACATTACTGCTCTATCTCCTGTAAGTAACTTAAAACAATATTTCTGTTTCAAAAATTTTGAAGAAGAAATCATGAACAAGCTTGATTTTTAAAAATAATAAATAAACAAAAACTGAACTTTTTTTTTAGTGCATCAAGGTTTTGGGCCAGCACAAAGGGGTATGTAGAGACGACCTGATTGGAGGTTTGGATGACAACCAACTTCACACAGCGGAGAGAGTGGATGGAATTACCCACATTACCTACAGAAGAACATTAATGTCTGGTATGTAGAGAGATTATGCATAAGATAGTATGATAATGGCTGACCACCAAGAAGCACATGTCATTCAAACAAATGTTTGATTCGTTTACAGCTGATAAGGGTGACAGGGAATTTTCAACAGAAGGTGGAGTGTACGTTGTATGGGCTTTGGGACACTTGGACCACAACAAAGAGCCCACCTTCCATGATTTTTACCCTCGCGGCAATATACGGTTGGAGCTATCAAGAAAAGACAAGTATGATAACTGCTTTGCGTTTACAAAACCCTTAGGAAAGCTCAGGTCAGTTTGTGCATGAAAGTATTTGTTTCCGTATTGCTCACTATCTGAAAACAATGAAAATAACCGTCCAATTTTCTCCAGAGAGCCCTGGGAGCCAAACCTTATCCTTGACCGTACCACCAGGACATTTACAGCTACTCTTGGTCCATCTGGAGGGAAGCGTGGATATCAGGGATTGACAGGTAACCTAAAGATCCCTCTATTTGTGAATATATTTTCTGAATGCATTTACTTCTAAACTTCTTTCTCTTGAATCATTTTTATCAAATTTAGGCATGACATCCATGGGATTAGCATGGTACATAAATGGAATGCTCGCACCTGAACTTTGGATGCGTCGAGGTTTGACTTATGCCTTCCGTGTCCGTGGAGGCAACAATCCTCATAGTGCTGAGACATATCATCCTCTCATTATTACGGATGAGCCACATGGAGGCTTTGATCGTCTGAGTGATGCGGCACAGCGAGAAGTCAGAGTCTTAGCTGGGGTTGAATTTCTTCGACGTGGTCAGCCTCGTCCTTTGGCAGGTAAGTAGCATGCAATGTATTAAATACTTCAAAGTGTTCACTAGAAAATCTATTAAACAACTTTTTATCATATATAGCTGGACCCCTTTGCATCAGTCGCCATAAGGGAAAGGATCGAAGGCTTGATGATGACTTCCCAACTTTCAAAAAGTTCAACCGCACCTTGGAATCAACTTGTGAGACAGGTGAGCAACTCTGCAATGAATGGACTCATTAATTTTTAAAAGAAAGAAAAAAAACCTAAACAATACAGTAATTAACTTAAAGGTGTTACAAAAATATTGCATTTACACCATGTCCTTCAATTTTACAGGTGAACCAGCAATATTGGAAATTACTCCAAACACATCATGGCCTGACATAGTTTACTACAACAGCTTTACTCACAATAATATGGGCTGGAAGATTCACATTGTTGATAACTTCGCGAATGGCAAGTCCACACCACAAAGTTTGCCGTCATCTGAGGTACTGTTACTGACATGTCTCACATTACTAGGATTCCAATTTGGATAAATTTGGACAAATAAATTAAAAGTGATGTAAATAAACAAGTCCGGCCAAAAATTAATTAAAATCCCCATTTTGACAGCAGTTTCATAGCAACCAAATTCAAAACAAAGTATTGAAGGATGACTGGATGAGATTTTAGCAGGAAAAGCATGCATGCAATAACATATCTTGGTGTCACATGTGTATTAAACTTTCATTTTAAAACAACCAAAATTAATAACAAACAAAGATCTTTGGGAACTTGCAATAACATTTTAAAATAACAAAACACAAATAAAAAGATTACAAATTAAAATTGGTAGTAAATTTCTCAGCAAACGCGAAACAATATACAAAACAAGAAAGCTCATTAAAATGTTCTGATTAATTGAACAATTAGAATAAGAAGACATGTAGTTGGGTTTTTACATTTTACCCATTGTGTCACTAACTGTGACAGACAACTCACACTGGGGTAGAATCAATACTTTCTGAGTTTTTAAAAATAAATTAAATACAGTTAAGGACAGACTCCAATCAGATTTGAAATTTCACATAAGAGACGGAGTGTTGGTCCCTGGTTCCCATTAGTTGTCATAAGTCTACACATCTAATAGGTTCCAGACACAACTCTATGTCACACTTAATCATGCAGTGTAGTGCTAATTCTAATTGACAGACCTGAGATCATCCACAAGTAATTAAATCTGGTACGTATCCACCCAGAAAATAAAGATATCACAGTTAGGCATTTTTCCCACAGTTAACTTTACTCACAACTAGAATAAGCCTTTTGTCAATCACAACCGGGATGATAAAGGCTGTCAGTTTCAGTGTATGTCATCAAATTGCTCACTACAGCCAAAAGTTCAGAATTTTACAATACATCTAAGAAAAGATGCTATCAAAAGAAAAAAATAATCAAAAGAACAAAGAAAGCCTTTAAAATAATGATAAATCAAAATATCACATTGCCACTAAACATTGAGATGAATAGTGTAAAATAAAAGATGTTTTGGCATTTTATCATTTTAAATATAGGCAGTACCATCTTGTTACATAGGTACAAGCCTGCTAGGTAATCATTTTGAGGTGGTGCAAAGCCAAATCAGTGTGACATAAAATTACATTTTGAGCAGCGACAAAACCAGTGCACTTGTGAGACAGTGTCCCATACTCAGTCCAATCAAATCACATAAAATGGCAACATGTCTTCAAGCTAAACATTTGCAATTCTTTTGTATAAACATACAAAGCACCTATTTACAAAAAAAAATCAACAGTGTAAAAACAATTAAGTGATGTACCAATTATTTACAACTCTATGCTAACAAAATCAATACATAAACTTTATAATTAACATTTCTTGAGGCATTGAAGTTTTGGCCAAATTTAAGTATAAATCATAAAGAACAGGTAACATCATAATCCTGATGAAGTAAATATAAGGCAACTTTGAGTTTTTAATCAACATTAGGATTAAGAATTTATTGTTCAGTCCAAACTGTGGTTTGAACTTTGGACTAGAGAGCTACAGCAATCAGTTGTTAGGAAATAATACTATTTGATTTCAAATCCTACAGAGTTGCTAGAAAAATATCACTTCCCTATTGCAAGGTAACAAATTCATGTTGCTACTGAAGACTAGATTCACATTCTCTCAATTACAAATAAAATTAACTTCAAAAATTGACAACAAGTAAAACAAAAGACTAGACCTAAGGTAAAAGGTTTCCAGAAGGAGGTAAAAGATACACAACTGGAAGATATCCGCATTGAGGGGAAAACTCATGGTGCATTGTGAAGAAAGTTACAATGAGACTTGATACAAAAGTGTCCTTTTTTTCTCTTCTCTCTTTAGGATGCCACTGCATCATTAATGACTATATTTCCCTTATAATTGAAGTGCTTGTTTTTGAATACTCTTAAATGAATGGCAAGCAGTACCTCTCAAGAAGCCACATTATGAAAGCCTCTTGCCAGCTCAGAACCAGCCTCATCTGTGCAACGCTTGGCTTTTTTTGAAGCTGGTTCAAATGCGCTCTTGCCATTTGATCCATTAGCATAGGAGGCCAAGTGGAGATGGAGATTACGCAGAGCCTTGCCAACATTGTGGCCACAGAAACGCTCTGCATCTACAACAAAGGATAAGAAGAGTAAGATGAGCTTGCCTTGATTTAAATACTACGTAAAGGACTTTCCAAAACCAAAATTGATTTTACCCTTTAAAATATAGCCTGCATCAACAATTGTTTTTTGCTGATGACTCCAAATCAGAAATATATGGCAAAATACTGCAGCATAGAATTCATTTAGAACGTCAATAACATTCCCTCGGTTATTGCACTCCCTGTAAAAAAGATAAACAGAGCTTACAATAAGGATGCCATTATTTAATTTTCTGATTGAAGAACATAAAAACTACTGTGTTGTTACCTGTTAAGCTGTCCTCGACGCATTGAATCCAAAGCAATCTTTGTAAGGTTGATACTCATGACTGCCAAAGGGAAGTTTTGTCTTTCAGATCTAGCAATGCGGTATATGTCTCTTGCAAGAGGTTCAAGGGAAGGTGATACAACTAGGTGAAGGAACTGTAGAATACCCAACATACCAACTCCTCTTACATCGGTTCCAGGATCAGTGCCCTACAGTTAAAATTTTAAGATTTATTATTTTGCTTGGTTCAAATTATAAAGATATTGCTCTGAAAACCTTTCTCTTAAAGATGATATCTTACCTGAAAGCCAACATCTTGCCAATGATTTCCATTTGAAGGACAGTCAAACTTAGACCCCGTTAGTTTCTTATAAATGGTTTGTAGGATTTGAACATGCATTGGTGTGTCCCATTCCAGCTGACCTGCAAATGTGAATCAAATTTGAATACTTGTAAAATTTGCTACAGTCGCTTCCCTTTTAGTCCAACAAAAAAAGAAATCTAAACCAACAATGATATCCATGAGACTTGTTGCTATGGTAACACCTAAGATCAAAAAGAGCTAAAAAAGAAAAAAAATGGAAGATGCAAATGAGTTATGCAGTTGTGATGATTACAAGAAGATAGCAGATGATTTTGTTCCTTATTCGTTTGGTACGATAAACCCCTACAGAAAGCCTATGACAAGGATGGATGGCACCCCCTGCGAATGTGACGAATTTCCCTACAGTCACCTTTACAAAAAGGGATTCAGGCTTGGAGATAAGAGTTGCTTTGATACAGGAACAACAGTCAAGTGTAAGTATAGACTCAAAATATAAGCAACTCATTGGAATGAAAATATCAAAATCAAAGACCTATTGTTCTCCCTCCAGTGCCACCATACTGGATTGAGTGGAGGCAAAGGCCAGTTCAGCTCACAGAAAACAGGCTCACTTGGCCAAAGGCACTGCCTTTGAATGGTTCGGTCAGTAAAGGCGTCTTGCCATACGAAAGAAAACCAGAGAAAGTGTTGAAACATGAAAGATGCCTACGATATTACACCCCTCCAAAATTGGAATATCTAGATATGATATACCACTAACAGGAGGTTGAATGTGGAAATTCCACACACAACAAGCAAATCAGTGCTCCTACAGCATAAAAAAGTAAAGTAGAAATTTAAAACAGGAACTCACATTGGGCAATTGCAAAAACAGTGTCTCGTTCTGCTTCAAGATTTGGTCTTAATTTAGGAGGACCGAAAAACATGCTGAAGACTGCTGACAAACCATGCTTTTCCATGAGCGGTTGAATATTTTTCTGAAAAATGAAACAGGAGATGAAGAATCAATCAAGAGATAATGATCAAAACATTGAGAGTGAGCATGTACCATATGCTGAGTCAGATCCGACTTCTTAAAATGTTCGTATGCTTCTTGGAAAGTAACTAAAGATGTACACGTTTTGGCAGAATAGTCCGCTGGTTCATTGAGCTTTGGAGTGATTGTGGCAACATCATCCCATTCTTCTACCACAGCCAAAGAAGCTTTCCTAAGAAAAGATTAATATTTTAGTGAGGTTTTCATCATAATTTCAAACTAACTCAAAATTTGTTAAGTGGAAACGTAGCAATAAATGTAGGGGAACGCTAACATTGTGCACCATTCAATTCAAAGTGTTTCAACTAAACCATCTACACAAATCGTGCAACCAAGTTGTAAATAAAATTCTTTTGGACAAATAAAGAGTATCTGAAGATAATAATAAGTGAAACTAGTACATACTTCGCTTCCTCCACATTTGTCTTTTCACGATGAGATTCAAATGCTGTTATTGGCTGGGATGTTTTAGGGGGTTTTAGTTCCAAGGGTGGGTAGGGTCTGCATATATCCTTAAGTTTAAGGCTGAGATTGTGTTTTTGCTCCTCATATTTACTCATCCCTGAATATTTTCATTCACAAATTTAATGGAAAGAGGTTAGGTAGCAGCAGACGAAAGACAACCTCGACATTCCTGGGAGAACACTGAAGCACTCGAAATGATATTTTCCAGGCAAAGATTTGTTCTTGAAAAGAGAATGCAGACTGCGGGATTTAATGAACGAATGAAAAAAGGCAAAGCAAATAGAAAACTCAAAAATTCTATGATCTCTCTAGAGCTGCGGCTCCTAGCTCTCCTTCAGTTTTTGTTTTGTGTTGTGTGAAGTAGCCACAACCGCCACCCAACCGCCAAAAAAACAGAAAAACTTTTGCCAAAGTGCCCGTGATTGGAAATATTCCCCACGGCAGATAAGGAGATAAACTTGCTTGATTCTCATTCATTCATTCGCCGTGCCGCATTATGATTTGATTGTTTTGTTTGATCGACAACAACCTGGCCGGAGGGAAGTACTGCGCGGGTGGCGGGCGATTCAAAGTCCAGGCAGGACAGCCTGTTCCCCGTTTGGTCATAGGCGGCGGCGGGCGGCGGCGTTCGGGGCACTGCAGACTGATTCCAAAGAGCCGCTTTCGTACGTTTTCGTCGCTCTGTCTCTCTCGCACTTGAGGGGCGTCCCGTGTACGCGCTAGAGAGACAGAGCGACGGGCCTCGGTTTGGCGCAGAGGCCGGACGATGTCCAGAAGGCCGCGATGAAAATAACGCGGCAAAGGCGAAGCCGACCGGAAGGCTGACCGCAATGTGGTAAGCAGCCACACCGGAAAAAAAAAACAGAATGAAAAAATGGTAGTGGGCTCGCTCGGTCGAGAAAATGCAGGTTGTTGCCTTTGGTACAGTTTGATTTATTTCATTAACTTATGAGTCCAGAGGACACTGGTATCATAGTAGGCTTTGAGACATCAACAACAGTTTGAGAACGACTGACTGGCTTATCGGAGACAGTGCAATGATAATGAGTCAGGCTCTCGTACACCATAGTATGCTAAAGAGACATCAACAACAATTTGAAAAAATAGCTTAAAAACTGACTAGCGTATCGCAGACACTCCAAGGATAGATGCACTTAAATTTACACAAAAGTCTGTTCCGGGCGTGGGAACGCGGCCGGTGGGTCTGGGGCCCAACCCAACAAGGCCCTTCCTTCGAGTCAGGACGAGTACTTGACGGACTCGTAGAAGATGTGGGGGGTGTTGGCGGCGGGCGGCGACGGCAGCGTGCTGGACACGGCGGATGCCATGCTCAGGGGCGCGCCCATGCCCACCAGGCCCTGGACGCCCGGCTCCGGGAGGGACGCCCCCACGGCCCCCACGGCCCCCACGGGGGTGGAGGGCGGCGAGGCGAAGGGTTTCCGGTCGCAGGACTGCGGCAGGCTGCACCGGACTCCTGCAAAAGCAGCGCGAGAAGGGCGCGAACGTGAGCAAGGCGTTCACAGACAGAATGAAAGTGGCATGCCGCGAGAGAGCACTGTGAAAATTTTGGCTGTCACGTGATGATAATGTCAAGGCAACAAGAATTTCGTCAGTTGATGACGCATTGTTGACACGCACATGAAGTAAGCAAAAGGAGCTGGAAAATGTGGTCAGTCAGTTTTTAAGCTGAAGAGAACATCTACTGTTATGTCAACGTGACAAGAAATTTTCACAGTGAAGGGCGCCTTTCTCGCATGGGGGCACTTGTCGCAGTGTCCGAAGCCCCCCCCCCCTCCTTTTCCTCTTTTCCGAGGGGCCCTGACTGCATCCTTACAGATCCTTGCAGCGTGCCAGCCGGTCACCCAGTCCCCCTCCCCCCCCTCTCCCCCCGCGGACTGCCTTGGACTCTTCCCGACACTTTTACCGCCCGCGACTGACCTCCCCTCGGCATCCTCGGCCCGCGCGCTGCGCGCGGCAGACCGATTCCGAGAGAGTCGTTTTCGTCGCTCTGTCTCGCTCGCACCCACATGGGCCGCCCGATGCGTGCGAGAGAGACAGAGCGACGGAAACGACTCTCGGAATCAGTGAGCCGCGCCCCACGCTGGCGCGGTTTGCTCAAAGGCGGTCGTGGAAATCACACGGCAGCGTAAACACGTGAGGCGCACTGCTTTCGACGCTGTCGCTCTCGCTCGCTTCCCTGCGGGACGCCCCATGAGTGCGAGAGAGACAGAGCGACGAGGGCGGTGCTGGGAATCGGCCTGCAGCGTGTTGATGTTTGCCTCGCCGCACGAGCAACGGTTATGAAAATTAGTGTCACTTACGGAGATCGTCTTTCCCTTTCCAAAACGGAGCGGGGGGGGGGGCTGAGCTGCGCACCGAAGGGGCGGCCGGGGGCGTCTGGCGAGTGGCGAGCGCGCACCTCACGTCCCTAGCGACCCAGGGTCGCTACACGTCCCTCCACCAGCCGACAGAGCAGTCCCGTCGCTCTGTCTCTGTCGCACTCATAGGGCTCTCCGAAAGGGTGCGAGAGAAACAGAGCGACAAACCGCTCTTCTGAATCGCTCGGCAGCCGCCTGTCTGGATCGTCTATTTACCACGATATAGTAGACCGGAGTCAAACCGTGTCAACCTCAGGTTCCGGGTTTCTCCGGCAGACTGTTTCCGGGAGTCGTTTTCGTCGCACTCACGGTGCGAGAGAGACAGAGCGACGGAAACGACTCTCGGAATGGGTCTGCAGGTGTCCGCCGCGCGAACCGCCAAAGACCGTCTGACGCGTCGGACGCGTCGGACACGCGCGCGCTGCACTGATGAGCTCTGTGCGCGCGGTCGCCGCCTCCAAGCAGAATATTTGCTAGCCGGGGCCTTTTCTTAGCTGTGCCCCCCCCCCTTCCCCTCGCCCTCCCCCCACCGCGTGTGCTGATCCTGCAGCGTCTGCTCGGCGTCCAGAAAGCGCTGCGGCGCGCCTCGTACCCTTTCAACGCCCGCGCTGAGTGCAAGTGTCCCCCTCCCCCTCCCCCGCCTTTCCCCAAACCCCGCGGCGCTCTCCCAACCCTACCCTAGACTTTCCCGTTCCTTCTATTTTTCGTACGCCATCTCTCTTTTGTTCGCGGCCTCCTGTTACGGAGACTCTAACGCAGGATTTCGGTGAGGGGACTTGACTTGACCGTTGGGCAGGACGGGCCCGGGGGACGGGCTCGCGAGCGATCGACAAGCTCCTTCAGACGTGACGCGACCATCTCTCCCGACGACATCATTTCTACGGATTGATCAGCGGACTGATCCGAGAGTAGTTTTCGTCGCTCTGTCTCTCTGGTACGTATACTGGTACTATACAGGGCGGCCATGAGTGCGAGAGAGACAGCGACGAAAACGACTCTCGGAGTCAGTCTACAGATAGTCGTTCCGACTTTGACTCACCTGGGTGGTCGGCGGGCAGGCAGCTCTGCAGGCCGTACTGGTGGTACGAGTAGCTGGGCGGCGTGGCGGGGCGGCCGAGGTCGCGGCCGAGGTCCATGTTCTCGGGGCTGGGCGCGCCGCCGTGGACGCCGTGGCTGGCGGCGTGGCCGTGCCCGTGCCCCGTGGGGCTGAGCGGGGCCTTCATGTAGCCCTCCAGGCCCGGCGCCGCCATGCCGTTGCCGTAGGGCGACCAGGGGCTGGGCGCGGGGGTGGGCGTCGGCGTCGCGTCCACCATGTTCTGCTGGTAGGCCATGCCGTAGTCGTACGACGAGTAGGTGCAGGCGTAGTCCTGGGCCGGCGCCGTGCTGCAGGCGGTGCTGCAGGGCGTGCCGCAGGCCGCGCCGCACGCCGCACTGCAGGGCGTGGCGCAGGGCTGCATGTCGTAGGCGGGCATGCCCTGGTGCAGCATCCCGGAGCCCTGCAGGCCGTTGCCGAAGAAGGCGGGGCTGGGCGGCGGGTGGAACTGGTGCAGCGGCGGCCGCAGCGAGGCCTGCACGGCCTGCACGGCCTGCATGGCGTGGCACTTGCGTCGGAAGCCTCGCGGCCGCCGCCGGTACGAGCCCTCCTCGAACATGAGCTCGGACGTGGGGTCGATGGTCCAGTAGTGGCCCTTGCCCGGCCGGCCCAGCCCCTTGGGCAGCTTGATGAAGCACTCGTTGAGGGACAGGTTGTGCCGCACCGAGTTCTTCCAGCCCTGGTAGGAGCCGCGGAAGAACTGGAAGTTCTTCTGCAGGAACGTGTAGATCTCGCTGAGCGTGAGCCGCTTGAGCGGCGAGTGCTGGATGGCCATGACGATGAGGGCGATGTAGGAGTAGGGCGGCTTCTCCTGCCGCCGCAGCCCCGAGGTGCTCTTCTTGGCGGTGGACGCGGTGGCGGTGGACGGCGTGGAGGCCGCCGAGGACGCGGGGGTCGAGTCCGCCGGCGTCGGCTTGTCCTTCTCGGGGGCGTGCACGGGCGCGGCGGCGGGCGGCGGGTCGTCGGGCAGCAGGTGCGACTGCAGGTGCGTCGTCTGCTGCAGCTGGTGGTGCAGCTGGTGGTGCGGCGCCGCGTCCAGGCCGTGGTGGCTGCCGCCAAGGCTGCCCGCGAGGCTGCTGGCGTGGTGGTGGATCACGCCGGGGTGCTGCTGGTACAGCTGCAGGTGCTGGAGGTGCTGCTGCAGGTGCAGCGAGCCGCTGCCGGCCGACGAGTCCCCCAGCGAGGACAGCGAAGACAGCGAGCCGAGGGACCCGAGCGACCCCAGCGGGGCGGGCTCCTCGCACTTGATCATGGCGCGCGGCTACGCCTCGGCTGCGCGGCTCAGCGGCCGCTCGCAAACATTTGTTGCGCGCCCAAACATTTACGCTGCGTTCATAATCACGCCTTGCTTCGCCGTCTTGCGCCGCGACCTGCCCCACTGGCTTCCGCACTGGGACACACACAAACACTGTTCACTTCAACTTTCAATATTTGGGTCGTATCACCAAAACAGTGAACGCGGTTCACACAAACAGTGGCGCTGCCGCGCTGGGCACTGCACTGGCGGCGAGCGGCCCGCCCGGCCCAGGCGATACACAAACAGGACTGAGGCGCGTTGCGGCGCGTTGCGAGCCGCGCTACGTACACAAACACGGGTACACAATTTACAGGAGGGCGTGGCGCCGGGGATGTCGCCGGTACGTCGCCAGGCTCTCTGCCGCGGAGGGGCACTGCAAGGAGCGGCACGGCCTAGCACGGCCCGGCCCGGATGCGCTCTCGCTGTAAACTAAGCGGGCCCCCTCGGCCCCTCGCCGCGCTCCTGCTCCGCCTCTGGGCCGCCCCTGCTGCAGGGCGGAGGCTGGGCTCGGCACGGCGCGGCGGCCCGCCGGACCAATCGGGGCAGGGGCGGAGCCAGGAGCGGGGCGCAGGGGGCGGGGCAGGGCGGGCCGCGGAGGCTGCGTCCCCGCGGTCCAAGCCCCGCCCCCCGCCCCGCCGGGGTGCAGGCGTCCAACGGACCCAGTCCATCGGGCCTTCGGCTGCTTCGGCCGTCGACAAGTCTTCGACATGTGATACAAAATAAAGCGCGCCGTAAAATCCATGTGCCGTCGTTAAGGCCGTCCGGCCGGACGTCCAACGGCAGCGTGTCCGCCAGGCCGGCCCGCCAGCAGGCCGATTCCGAGACTCGCTTTCGTCGCTCTGTCTCTCTCGCACTCATGGGGCGTGCCGTGTAGGTGCGAGAGAGACACAGCGACGAGAGCGACTCTCGGAATCGGTCTGCAGGACGCCAGGCGCAGGGCAGCGGCGGTGGCTGGGCGAGGCGGAGCGCGGTGGACACTGTCCAGAAAGTGGGCCGAGCGCCCGCCAAGGTGTGGATAGGCAACGCGCTGGACGGGTGTGCGCGCAGGTAGGCTACACAGGTGTGCCGGCGGCGGCGGCCAAGCACCGGGCAGGTGCACAGTGGGCCAGAAGACCGGTGGAGGCGGCCGAAACTCTAGGCGCGTTTTGAGCTCCAGAGTCGCTAAACGGGACTCGAATCGAACGTGTGACCCCACCAATGGATTGCTCTCCGAACGAGGAGTCCATTGGTGGGGTCACACGTTCGGTTCGAGTCCCATTTAGCGACTCTGGAGCTCAAAACGCGTCGGGAGTTTTGTCCGCCTCCACCGGTCCTCTGGCCCACTGTGAGGTGGGAGGCGCGGCCAACAGGTCGGCAGGCAGGTAGGCTGCAGACTGATTCGCAGAGTCGCTTTCGTCGCTGTCTCTCTCGCACCAGGGGACGCTCTATGAGTGCGAGAGAGACAGCGCGACGAAAGCGACTCTCCGAGTCAGCCTGCCGCACAGGTGTGACAGGTGGCGGCGGAGCGCCTAGGAGCACTTAAAATTTCTGAGAATTAGGCAGCTCGGATGACACGTAACCCGGCAGGTTGCCAGCAGTGGCCTGCACAGGGGTGACCGGTGGTGGTTGAGTGCCACTCAACGACTCCGGGAGCGTAACCTTACGTTTGTGTGAACGTGAATCTAGCCACGTTCCTGAGTCTGAATTGAGGCCTCGTGGACGGTGACGGGCGCGTCCGTGCCCCACGCTTCTGCAGTCATGCCAGCATCAAACGCAGCGTGGAGTGCCATGTGCGTTGCCAGGCAGCTAGGCCGGCCGCTTGGGGCGGTCGGGTGGACCTGCCACGGTCGGCTTAGACGCCCCCAAGGTCGTGCCATAGCAACGTCCGACCGCAGGGCGTCGGGCAGGAAGGCTTACCGGGTCGCAGCGGTCGGTGCGGGGCTGACAGTCTTCACGTTCCTGGCTCAGCCCTCTCGACAGGCTCTTTGTTAACAATATAGTGATGCACAGGGTTAAATACGAGAAGTAAGTTCATAGTATGTTGATGTGTTCAGGAATGGTTCTGTGGGTCTGACGCGTGATTAGTTACAAGGTGTGGATCAAACTATAACGCAACCGACACTGCGCTGTTGCTAGGAAGCTAACTGTCAGGGGCGGAGGGGTGACAGTTATCTTCCACCGCCCTCCTCGCAGGTTTTTGTTAACAAAATAGGTAGCACAGGGCTTAAATCGCAGAGAAGTAAGTTACATAAAGTATGTTGTGTGTTCCAGTGGTTCTAGTGTGTACTTGTGCGTGATTACTGTTTTATCGGCGATTGGAGTCAAACTATAACCAACCTGACACCTGCGCCTGTTGCTATGACGCGACTGTCGGAGAGGGAGGGGGGGGGGGGAGGGGGAAGGCCGGCGGCCGCCGCGACGTCAGCACACTGTCAAGGCGCTCGCCGTCAAAGACGCGCCGAAGCCGCGTCAGCCCGTGGGGCTTGCTGCAGCAGCGCGGAGCAGCAGATTGACTTCGAGCGAGAGGCCTCTCTCTCTCTCTCTCTCTCTCTCTCTCTCTCGCACTCATGGGTTGTCTCGTAGGGGTGCGAGAGAGACAGAGCGACGGGGCGGTACGGGGCGGTCCGCTCGGAATGGCCTGCAGCGCTGCGGCGCGGCGCATTAGCCCCTCACATCGCGCCGCTCCAGCAGCAACAACAACAACACCGGTCTTTCTTCTTGTTGTTGCAATCGGCGGCACGGCGGCAGTGAGGTGTCCGTCGGCGGCGGCGGCGCGGCCAGATCAAGGAGAGGAGGGGAGGGGGAGGGGCGGCTGCACCCCGGCCACCCTCACAAAAAAAACGAGGGATATATGGCACTACTTGTGAGGCCGCCGCGCCGCCGAGGAGTGTAGATATCGGTCGTTTTTGCGTTCCGGGAAGCAAAAGGAGGCCGCGTTTCAATTCCCTTGAGTGCGAACGGAGCAATGCAGTGACGTGCTGTAAAACAGCTGCTCGGAGTGGTGCAATTGCAGTAGAGGGATGAGTGGGACTGGGGCGTGTGACTGTCTGACGCACCGCCTTCCAAGAGGAGCCGGAGCCGGTTTGGGAAGTGCCATGAAGTCCGGAAGAACCTGTGCAATAATGTCCTAGAATCCGAGTCTGTCTCTCTCGCACTAACACAGGTCAAGCAAGAGTGGGAAAAAGGGTCCGCTCCCAGCGAATCAGCGCCGCTTCGATTTGGCAAGTGCCGTCACTTTACACACACATCTTCTCTCTCTCTCTCTCTCTCTTCTCTCTCTCTCTCTCTCTCTGAATGCACTGCCTCGGCGCTCCCATGGGCCGCTAATGGGCGAGCGCTTGCCTGTAAACAGGATGGGCCGCCGTGGCCGTGGGTCGCCGCGCCGAAGTGGATCATTGTGTGAAGGGCCATCACCAGTCAGATTCTGAACACAGTCGTGCTTTCGCCGCTCGCCCTCTCTCTCTCCCTCCGTCTCTGTCCGCTCCGCGCACCCCTATTGGCCCCACCGTGTGTGTGTGTGTGTGTGTGGGGGGGGGGGGGGGGGGGGGGGGGAGGGGAGAGAGAGAGAGAGAGAGAGAGAGAGAGAGCACTTGTTCCGCGCCGAGCGGCGGGTGGCCGCGGACAAGACAAGCCAATCCCCATCCGAATGCCGCGGACGAGCTCGAACACCGCGTTGTACACACATTGCGGACCAGAAAACCGCGGCTTTTGCCACCCCGTTGCTCGAAAGTGATCTCGGTGATCCAGGACGCCATTCGGCAGGCAGCGCAGCGCGCGCGAGGCCGACAACCCCAGCCACCTCACCTCACCCCGCCCCGCCCCGCCCCGCCTCGCCAGACTCTTTGGCCGGCATGAGTAATATCGCGTCAGCACCTCCCCGCCGACGAGAACATCATTTCCACCCTTGGCTGAGGGGAAACAGAAACATATTTTGTCGGGTGGCGCACGCCTTTAGCACGGCGTGGTGTGGCGGGGCGGGGCGGGGGGCGGGGCGGGGCGGGGCGGGGGGGGCGTGCGCGGCCCGTCGAGTGCACCAGCCCACACCGCCCCCGCATGGCCCCCGCCGCGCGCTCCGGCCGGATGCGGGGGGAGGGAGGGGGAGGGGGGGGGACGAATCGCCGACAGACACGGGGGCTGCTCCGCGTCGCTGGAGCCTCGGCGTGCTAATTGAGGGCAAGCTGTGGACGGACGGCCGTCGCCGCGGCCAGCCTCCAGCAGCCCTCCAGCAGGCTGTCTCTCTCGCACCCATACGGCGTACCGAGCGCGGTGCGAGAGAGACAGGGCGACGAAACGCGACACTGTGCGGATCCGCTCTGCAGTGCAGACTGAGAATCGTTTTCGCCGCTCCGTCTCTCTCGCACTCGCGGCCCGGCCCGTAAGGTGCGAGAGAGACAGAGACCAGTCTGCTGCAGCAGCCCTCCGCGAGGCCCTGCTTGCCCAGCCCACCGTGTTCGCTTGGAGTGTTCCACTTGTTGCTCGGCCCATGTGCCGCTGCTGCACTCCATGGGCGAATGTGTTGGGCCCTCAGGGCTTTGCCAGTCCGTCCCCCGGAGCGGCGCGCTACAGGTGTGTGAGTGGATGCCTCTTGGGGTCTGCACGGGCAGGCGCGGGTCCTGGTTCAAGGTTCATGGATGGACTTTCAGCAGGGTCGGAGGCAAGAGTGAGGAGGTCGCACATGTAGGGACTTGGTTGCGTGCTGCAAGATTAGAGCGGCAAGGACGGGCCTGGATCGGCACGCCTAACATGTTCAATGTTTCGTAGTTGGAAACTGATTCGTTGGAAGTTGGAAACTTGATGTCTACATTTTTTCGATCGTTGGTTCACGTTCAAGCGTTCAAGTAACATACTTATTTGGCGAGCGAGTCGCGACAAACGTGCGACATTGTCAATCGAACGTGAGGTTGGAAAGCAGTGTGTGTCAGCTGGCAAAGTCGGTTGCAGACCTTTGCATTTCATCATTTCTGTTGTATCAGAGTGTTCTATGTAAGCTGTTCCGTGAGAAAACTGTTTCCCCGCAGATTTTGCAGGCCGGAGCGATGAGAGGCCCCTGTCAAGGGTCGCCCTGCCATGCGCATGAGGCATGCATGAGGCGTCCACTTGACTGCAGTCGCGAGCGCACTCCGTACATGGGGGCGTCCCGTGCCGTCGCGGGCCTACACCGCGAACGAGAAAGAGAAGGAGAACGGACTTACCACTCTCCGCTCGCTGGCACGCGGAGGGCGCGCAGCCTGAAAAGATTCCTCTGCTTTCGAGTGAGATGCGGCGCACCATGATGGGCTACGCACTCTTCGAAGTGTGAGGTTCATGGTGCATTCACCAAAAGTCGCACGGGAAAGTTACGCTGCACTGCGTTGCACTGCGTTGCACTGCGTTGCACCCGGAGCCCCGCCCGAGCCCTTCCGCGCCCACGCACTTCTTCTAGC